TATATATATATATATATATATATGAGCAACACAACTGTTTTCAACATCGATGATTAGCATATTAGAATGACTTCTGAAATATCATGTGACACTGCAGACTACAGAGTAATAGCTGCTAATTCAATTCTGCCATCATTTTAAGAGTTATTTTCAATAATAATAATAACAATAATTCAAAATTTTACTGTTTAACTGTGATTTCTATCAAATAAATGCATCATACTTTCAAAAACATTAAAAAAAATATTACTGACCCCAAACTTTTGAATTGTGTGTATATATATCTTCTTTATTAGTATTTTACGCAATTAATGCATCCAAAAATGAACTAGTGAGGATGCTATACTATAAAAATAACTGGGACCCAAAAAGCACTTGTTTTGTACAAACGACCCATCTGTTGCTCAGCGAGTGGCGGCACTGACCCTGAAGGTCCATCTCAGCTCTCAGCTCAGGGTGATAGGAGACGTAATTAACACACGGCTTCAGAGCGGCTGAGGAGATGTTTTCACTCTCTGTTTCACCTCTCTATCTGCTCAGCAGCCTGACACCGCTCTCTCCGTGTCTCCTGAAGTCCCGTCTGGGCCTTTCAACACCAAATAATTTGGGGATCCGTTGGATGTGAGCCCTATCCTGTCAGTCTCTGCTCCATCTGCTCCCTGTTTGTCTTCTAGCTCCCTCTTCTTCTGACAGGCAGAATCACTGACTGATTTCTTCTGCTGGCTGGATGCCGTCAGACCTGAACTTTGGGTCAAGAATGTGCGTCAAACCTATTATCTCTCTTGAAAATAATCCCCGTCCAGAATAATATGAACACAAGCACATTTTTGGCTTCTTTTCACAGTAAACAGAACACAGTGAAACAGATGAAATTACTATTTACAAACAAATGTTCGACGCCGATGCTTCCTGACTCTTCAAGTAACCCGCAAAATAGCGGTTTTAGATTAGTGTTTTATTCATATCGATTTGAAAATGACCAGAGCTGTTTGTGGGGTTGAAATGCTACATTTTCAAAAGATTACTGGAGATTTGGGATTTTTTTAGACTTCCATCAGGATCACTGGCTCTGGACAACTGCAGGATTTGACACAAATTCACAGGCAGCAAATTAATTCAATTATTATAGGTGCTTAATTATAAAAAAATTGGTTCTTATTATTAAAGGTTTTGCTGCTTAATATTTTGTAAAAAACCACAATACATTTTTAAGGATTCTTTTATTAATAGAAAGTTCAAAAGAACAGCATATATTAGAAATCTAGTTTTAACATTACTTTATTTTACAACTTTACTGTCACTTTTAATTGAATGCATCTTTGCTGAATAAATATATATATATATATATATACACACACGTGTGTGTGTGTGTGTACTAAATTGTATTAAAATAGAAAACAGTTACTAACTGTAACAGTTGTACTAATTTTTTTTACTTTTTACACTTCAAAATCTTAATTATTCCAGTACATATATATTTAAACTAACACACATAATTATATAATTGACATGAGTAAAGTTTTTGACCCATGTCAAAGATAATAGAGCAAAATATCTAAGCTTTAGGCTAAACAAATTAGAAGAAAAAGTGTTGCTCTCCCCTATTTAAAGTGTTATGAACTTTAACTGTTTACTGACTAAATACTCACAGACTTGTTACTCACATGTCTCTATGAGAGAATGCTGATGCATATCACAATGTCTTAAGGGCAGAAAACATGGCAGAGGGCACTAGACTTATGTTCATATCATGTCTTCAGTGTATTTCTGTTTTTAATGTAAATTGATGTGCTCCACGGGCATTAATTATACAGAAATAAGAAAAAAGAGAAAGAGAAGGAGAGAGAACCACAGAGGTCATTGAGAGCCGTGTTATGTCTGTCTGTAGAGACATAGACAGGCTCACTAGAGGTCAGAGCTAACCGAGTTAACAGTCAAAGCTCACTGAGAGGTTCCTCTGATCAAACGTCTCGCATTTTCCATACATGTCTGAGAGATGCCCTCTCCACACAAACATCTCAATCGGACTCATCTCAAACTACAAGGAAATCCTCCATGGGAAGGATTTTTTCTTTTTAGTGGATACACATCAAATCTTTGGATTCAGTAGTTTTTGTGGGATGAAAATGCAACTATGCATGCTATATTAGAGTCACAGA